GAATTAGAACTGGCCATTTTTTTATCACTTGGTGCGCACGAAAGGGAATTCCTATAATGTTCGAAGAACATCGTGCGTACCTAAAGATGATAGGAAGAGGGGGATTTTTTTTAACGTTTGGAGGTTGAAAGTGTGAGAAACAGTGCGATTGGATTCATTACTCATTTCATAACTTTGCGGATTCGATTCCAATTATAGGCTATTTATTATACTATCCAAAGGATAAAGTAAACACACATAGTCAGGAATATACAAATTCAGTTGTGAGGAATGTGATGATGTAATATATAGGCCGAACTACGTCACCCATAAGAAACAAGGCGTTCAAAAAAGAAGCACATTTGAAATATTGTACATAGGCTGGATAAATCGAGTGTCGCCGAACACATAATTTTTCACAATTCGAACAAAAATATTGATAATCCCAATTTAGTTGAGCAAGTTAAAAAATGTTAGGAAAAAAGATGCATATAAGAGCATAGAGGTATTCAAGAATAGAGTTATGAGTATGGATAATGGACCTTTCTTCCATACCTCTCATACCTTCCATATGTCCTACTGTATTGTTTAGTGATATAGGATTAAGGTCAACATGTGAACTCAAACATGACAAACATAACCATCACGGTCATAGTTTCTTTCACGGTTAAGTGGACGTACCCATAGTATATTAGTAGCAAATCAGAAGCCCATTTTTACAAAATTTCACACCCTATGTCTCGGGAACGAAGCATTTTCGAACCCACGTTAAATTTTATTTAATTTTTTTTATAGAATGTTGAGAAAAATCTCCCATCGGCTTTTGTCACCACAACTGTGAAACACCCTATGATGAATATATTTATATTATAAGTATTGTGTCACCCGAAAAACCGACTGCCCGGCTTCATGGAGGTTATAATATGAGTGAATTTGTATACGTTTATAAAAAATAAAACATTTTGAATATTTTATAAATGAACGTCTTATATTTCGTATATATAAACACCGTTCGATAAGTCGTTTTAATTTGATTATACTTTCATTCACCAATCTTGAGATGCTATCATGAGTGAATATGTTGAAAATAAGATCATTAATTTTTAACGTGAGTACACGAGATGATACTATATTGAATATGGAAAGAGAATGTACATTCCTAGCCAAGCGCTCGTTCAGATATGGAAATGAGTAGATATATTCAGTTCATGCATTATAGATTTTTCACACCTAGTAAGGAAAAAAGAATCTTCCGATTGTCGAAGACTTAGGAGCTTCAATGAAAGAAAAAACTATGCTAGCCTTGAATGCACGTTCATATTATTCATTACGAAGAGTTAATATAGCTGGTTAATCAATATCCTCACCGATAATTACTAAACTTTTCGAACTGAAACACCCAAAATAGCGAACCAGTAAACACAATCATCCCTGGGATGTCACATTCATGTCTCGCTAGGTAACAATGCGAATTACAAGAGAGCCAGGAGACCCTTCATTTCACAAAACATTCGCAATATTCGCCACATTTCATCGGATTTGAGACTCAGAATGTAAGTGGATTTGTGAGGCTCCCTAACAACCAAGTGACTCACTGGAACCTCACATTCTTGTCTATTTATGTCACAAACGGAATCAATCCATTTCGATATTGAATAAGTATAGTCGCTTGATACGTACTGTGAGTCTCATTTGGCATCATAATATGAAATCATAATATGACCAAAAGGGTCCGGAATAGCAGTCCTTTTGATTTCAGTGGTACTCTCATTTCGAGTCATGGATGTGATGTGTGGCATGAATGTGATGCCCTCCTATATCTCTGGGATCAATCTGTGTTAAGTGAAATCTTCGTCGAATAGAAGCAATCAAATAATCTAGAGAATTTCATTATGTTTCAAAGGTTGGATTCCTTATGAGTAGAATACCATCCACCTATATACAAATAGTAACGGTCATTTTAGACTCATATGTTCGTAGCCTACCTATATTGATTCAGATACTAGTTTATTTGAATGATTTCATCTGTTTCAGTACATTTCAAGTGGTTACCGGCTCCAAGAATAAAAAAATGATGACATTGAGGATTATGATCAGAAAGCAGAATTCCTTATACCTCGGGTGTCAGTAGGAACCTTTTCGCAAAGCGTCAATTGTCTGAGAACCATAAATAAGTACTTCGCAAAATGAACAATGGATGGTTACAGTTAACTGGAGCAGAATGTAGAAAGGTTCTTGGCCATTCGGAATGGTGCTATAAAGATTCGACAAATGCAAAATTTATGACATGCAAATTTCAGGCGGTTGGCAGGTAAAAAGAAAATACCACAGATGGAACTTAACTGTATCTAACCCTAGATTTGCATTTTATGCAATATTTTTCTGAGAAGTCTCTAAAAACTAAAAATGTCACCGGGAATTATCATCCATAAAACTTAGCCTGCAAATAAAACAATAAATTGTTTCGTTATTTACTTAATGCGTCTGCATGATACACCTGAACTCTCGCCTGAACTATAAAAATAAGAATACGATGGTCTGATGGAAATAATTCTTAATTGAATCAGAACATCTTTATTTTGAGAATATGCATGATATTGCTCATGTCTTGATATTATTTGATTCTTGCTTACTGTGAATAGAGATCTTCAGATTTCATAATTATATCATATTTATTTATAATATTCAATCTTGAGCTAGTTACGAAACCAGCAATGGTGGACTCGTCAGAGCAGGATTATATATCTAGATTATCGATTTTTCAACTTGTAGAAACTGAGCTTAGCCTCTTTGCAATCATCATTTTCTATCCTCATACGTAATCCGTTGTTATTTATTAAACGTGTAGTTTCAAACGAATTGTATTATACTCATTTGAAAATTGATCATACCTATACAGGCTGTCCCCCATTATCGATGTCCCTACGGGATACCTCATTTATTTTTAAAGATAGCGATTTCGGTTTTTGCGAAGGTTGGCTACTTTTTTGTGAAACTCACGATACCGGAAACAGAGTTGCCATGAAACACTGATTCGTTTTCCAGATACAGGACGAAACTGAAAATGATGCATTGTGGGACCTCCCTTGTATCTCAATTATCTTTCAACATATCAAGGAAGTAGAAACTGTCTTTTCAACATTTTTTCACGTAGAATAAAATTAGATATAATTGTGCACATAAGCAGATATAAAGCAACGTTATGTTTCTCTGTATATTTTTTCATATTTGAAACAATGATACTTTGTACGTTTTGAAAATATGTAACACTCATATAATATTTCGAGAATAAGCCATGAAATTAGATGATTTTTGATTCTTCATCGATTTGTGCCTTTTAAATATGTAACAAAATTGTCCATATCACAAATTTTCATATTGACCTTGTTACTGACACAATTAATTCTTTTTAATACTAGTTTCAATTTTGCCAACATTCAACATTTACAAATATTCAGCACTATTTATTGACTATCAAAGCTGTGTACCTTATTCGTAGGTGGCTATAAAAAAAGCGTGTGTATCAATAGTATCAAATGTCTCTTAATCCTATATAGTCACCTCCCTGTCAAAATACTAATCCTGGATATGGAAACTACGAAAAATTATAGGTTGAGATATTTTGGTTTCTAAAATTTCGTAGTTTTGATATCCTGGATTATCATTTGCCGTTGTATGAAAATTTTTAGAATATGACAGGTAGGTATCGAATATTATTGGATATTCTGCACCCGCTATTTTTCATGGTCACCTACTAATAAGGTCCACAGCTCTTATAGTATAGATGAATATTGGTAAATGTTGAATATTGGTGAATGTTGAATTTTCGTAAAATTGAAGCTAGTGTGTGATGAAACACTGTATCAGCAACAAGGTGAATATGAAAATTCGTGTTATACACAATGTTGCCACATATCATCCTCATCGATGCAATATATACTGAAAAACTAGAAATTATCAAAGTTCATGGCTAATAGCTACTGGAAAAATGTATCAGCGACAGTATTTACTTTGATATGTTGAAAAATAGCTGAGATACAAGGGGGGTCCCAAAATGCAACTTTTTCCATTTCACCCTGTATCTCAAGAACGAAGCAAGTTATGAGGATTTTATTTGTTTCACAAAAAAGTAGCCAACGTTCGCAGGAACTGTCAATCTCTACCTTTGAAGAAAAGTTAGATATCCCGTAAGGACATCGAGAATGGGATAGCATATTTCTTATGGTGTACTAGTTACAAACTGATACTGTTCTATCAAATTACGAATAGATTCATCGAAAAATACCTAGAAATTTTCTCTATATTTTTCCAGAAATATCGTTTGAATCATATATGGTTATAGTTCCATCGCAACTTCACATGATCTTGAGAATGAAAATTATTTCATTCTTTTGAATCATTGTACTAACGTAGGTTCCTCAATTTGATAAGGAAATTGTTCGAAATCGTTCATGGATTGTTTATGACACATTTCAGATATAAAAAAATAGGGAGTCATAAACTGTAGAATTCTTGGTTGTTATTCGAAATTTATAACTACAGCAAGGAATTAAGACTTTATGAAAAATGAAACAAATAATATATGAAACACTGTAACTTTAGATCTGATTGAAGGTACTCAAATGCATTTAAGTAACACTTGAAGAACAGCACTTACAGGGATTTAATAATCCATATTCATATAAGTGATTTGTGCTCAAGGTACCTAAGCATGAATCATAAATATCAATAAACTTGTTCATCATTGCGAGCTGATTTCGTACTCCCTGACGAAACTTCGAAGATTAATATTATATGATGAAACTGATCCATATTTATACAACCCACCTTCATTCACCTGTTTTAGATAGAAACAAAAATCCATTCAATCCTAACAATGAACTACCACTATTGTTTGAGGAACTTGCATACCAAGATTATAATACAAAATAAACAGACAACAATAATGATTAAATCCCTGAAGGTATCATACCTGCATGATAATTTGACTTCAAAATACCCGTATCATTCACAATAACAGACTAGGACCTACCTAATGGCCTTCTTTGCAAAAATATTGCGACAGAGTCTTGAGGATCCAAATCATCCTCTTCTTCATCTCTAGAGCTCGGACTCCTCATTGGTGAACCTCCACTGGAGCTGTTTGAGTGTAAACCAGTAGTCATACTGAGATCTTCTGGTTCAGTCTGCTCAGGATGAGTAACTTGAATAGAAAAACTCATCAGAGGCATGACAGGAGGATGTGGTGCTCTCCTTTTTTTCGATTGCTCATCATCAGAATCAGGAGTCATTTCTTTATCGGGCAATCCACACTTATGGTGCAATAAATGATGCCTCCTTCTGAATCTGCTTTGGCATCTGTCACAAGAAAACGGTTTCTCATTCGTGTGAATCAGGATATGAGCTTTCAGTTGGTTGGAATCTGAAAATTTCGCACTGCAATGCTCACATGCGTATGGCCGTTCTCCAGTATGAACCCTAAGGTGCCTCCTCAGATTTGCCACTTGGACGAATTGTCTATCGCAGTGTTCGCAATGATATGGGCGTTCTCCAGTGTGAAGCCTCATGTGAGTTTTCAAGTGATGATCCCTCGTGAACCTCTTATGGCACTCTGGGCACTCGAATGGTTTTTCTCCTGTATGAGTTCGTTCATGGTTCTGAAGGACGTGTTTATATCCAAATGACCTGAAATAGATAACATCGATAAGTCGTCATTTCAAATATCTTCCAACTGAGATGCCAAAATTGATTGTTTGATGCATACCTATTACACACTTGACAAGTGAATTGTTTATCTCTATTTTGGTCCTTTACTTCGGATCCAGACGGTGGTGAAACGCTTGATGTCGGTGAAGGCAGAGGAACACTGGTGGCGTCATCCTCAACCTTGAATTTTCTTTTTCGAATATCTGTCATCATGGTACTACTGCTTACGATATTATCCTTTTTCCTCGAAATGAGTGCTGGAGAAAGGGGTTCGTTGCTGGTTGGTGGTGAAGGTGGCGAGTTTAACGGCGTAGAATTTGCAGCCCATGGCATCGGAAGAAGTCCAGGATGAAAAAAAGCTGGATTCGCTGATAAAGTTAAGCCAGTAGCAGCCATTAATTGACTAGCCATGATTATTTGGGAGGGTGTGAACATTGCCGGATTATGGAATGTTTGGTAACCAAATGGAGTTTGAAGAGGTTTGATTGTTGCATCTTCTTCCACTTTCATTTCTCGTCCTCCAAGATGTTCTGCAAAACAATAAAAAAACATTGGTTTTTTGAATGAATGATAAATTGAAATTCATCATACAAGACGTGGAAAGAAATTCTGGATTGAGAAAAACCTAATCACGAATCTGCGATTGAGGTCTATAAATATAACAAGTTTCAATCGTTCAAGTTTGACCCCTTGATTGGGTGAAAGTATTCAAAAGGAACATACTTAGATATATTCAATTATTCATGAACACAAAAAATGTATATATATATATATATATATATATATATATATATATATATATATATATATATATATATATATTGTTATGATATCCAATATGTGATGTATATAAATGTGATGAAAACCTGCTATGAAATTCAATTTTTCCTGAGTGTATGCATTTTTAGTTTTGCCATTTCGGTCAGAGCAAATAGATTAAGTTTACTAGTCACAGCTCTATACTGATATTATTATTCTATTCAGTCTTGGTTAAATAGTGTAGGTATTTTGAAAAGAGCGCAAAATTATTATTTTCACATAAAGAAGAACATTCTGTAGAGGGATGTCAGACTGAAAAATACGATAAAAGATGACATCGGTCAATAGTTTTGATTTTGAAACAAGAAGAAATATAAATTTTGAGAAGGAAACGAAAAGGAGGAATGTGTCTGATGAATTTGAAATCAATTGAGGTTTGGAAAAAATATTTGGAATAAAATTTGTGCTATAATGTAGTCAGTAGGGAAGCATTGTTATAAGAGGTATGTCAATAGTGAAATAGGAAAGGAAATCATGAATATGATTGGATAGTGGAACGAGAAAAAACGAGAGTAGAGTTTCCAGGAGATTTATTGAAAAAAAAAGAAAGAAAAGGAGGGAAGAATTTGGAATTTTGGGATGGAGAGTTCAAAATTGATGATCGAAATTCATTGAAATAACAAGCAGCAGTTAAAAAATTACATATACCAAACATATTCAAGTGGTGAAACCAGAACATATAGAGGAAAGTTTTTGGAATAGTGTTTTCATCAAAAATGAGATTGAGTTTCCAAGAGTGAGCAGAGAGCAGACGCAGAGTTTCCTGATAAGAAACCCACATCACAAGTTTCTTACGTATTTGAAGATATCATCCAGGATCGAGGACTAGCAAAGTGAGTGCTATTATTGTTGAAAAGTTATCAATACTCCCGGAACTTTTTGTATTCAAACGCAGTTACACAATCAAGACATTCAAAATTGTGTTTATTTATCAAATTTTGGTATGAAATGAAAAGAACATTCTAGATACAGACTTTAACGATACTGAGGTTTTCGCTCATCTATTGATCAATTTTATGCAAATGAGCAGACATTAGATTTTATTAGATAACTTATAATTTGGACAATTCTGATTCAAATTTGATATAGAATATAAGTTAGTTTTCTCCCAGAGAATAGGTAGAATAAGTTTTGTGAGCATTTTCACAGAGATATTGTTTCCAAACGTTAATTTAATTTGAATAAAAAAATAACTGAACAATTCTCAGAAAACAATATTTCAATTTATTAATATATGATTATAACATAAAAAAAAAATATATCTGACATCAAGCAACGAGAAGGCCCAACTGCAACCCTCCTGAGGTTACGACGATCATCTCTACAAAGGAGTCGCCGATTGGATTAAAAAGGTAAAGCTAGAAAGGTAAATACTGCGGGAAAGAAATAGTTTTTCATAGTATATCACAAATCATAACAATTGTCACCGCAACGTGGGGCATTTGAGAGGCGATTTGAAAGTAAATATTCTGGAAAAAGGTTATTTCTATTTGAGTGATTGTGAGACAGAACTGTGATTGTTTGAGAGAGATCAAAGATTGAAAAGAGTAACTGTGAAAATGGATCTTAGAGACGGAAAGATAGTACCAAGGAGAGAAGGAGAGAGTGTAGAGTGTGGAGAGGAACAAAATCATGGTGATGGAGGAGATACAAGTGTTTCGCCAGTGTCACAGGAAAGTCAGGTACAAGAGGGGACAAGTATGGAACAGCAAATCCATAGGCTTATGAATTTTATTTCTATGAATATGGATGGAATGAAAGAAAGCATGAGAGAAAATATTCAGGAAGTGAAAGAGAATATGGGAAGAATGGAAGAAGGAATGAAAGAAAACATGGAAAAAATGGAAGAGAATATGAAAATAGGAATGAAAGAGCATTTAAAAGAAAACATGGAAAGATTAGAGGAGAATATGAGGAAAGAATTAGAACAGAACAAAAGAGAGATAGTGAATTCATGTAGAGTATTTGAGGAGAAAATTGAGAGACAGAATGCAGAATTTTATCAAAATATACAGGGTGAAATAGTTCAGATAAATAACAAAATGCAAGAAAATGACAAATTATGCAAGGACATAAGGGTAGAGTTGGAAGTGTCAAATCAAAGTACTTCATATGAAATGAATAAAATCAATCAGAGAGTTGAAGAATATAAAAATGTGTCAAATAATAAGATTTCTAATGTAGAGAATGCATTATTTATTATCAAAGAAAGTGGAATTACGAATGACAATGGGGAATATCAGAGAAAAATGTTAGAAATTGAGACAAAATTAAAAGAATTAGAACAAAACAGAGGTGACCAGAACTTACAGCATAGAATAATATCAAACATACATAATACACATACAAGTAATAAATTTGAAGGAAATATTCACAAAATGCATCCAATAATTTTTTTGAAGTCATTGAAAAACAAAACAAAACATATTAAGGATATTGAGGAATTGAAAGACATTATCAGAGATTATTTAACAAACCAACCTTTGGTATGGTTCAATAGCCAAGAGAGAAACATCCATAATTATGGGAATTTTGAAAACTTGTTCTTGAAACAATATTGGGGAAATAATGCTCAGTTATTATGTAGGGACAAACTTCAATTCGGAAAATTTGATGAACAGAGGAGTAATAATTATAATAATTATGCTATTCAATTGTATGCAATGGCACAACATTTAGACCCCAAGATGAATGAAGAAGAAATAGTAGGCAATATTAGTAAGCATTTTAGACATGAAATATTCGAAGTAATTTCAATGCATGAAATAAAAACAATGGATAGGCTAAGTGAATATTTGTTGAGATTAGAAAGAACAATGGCTTATAAAAATTGGGATAATGGCAATAATACCAATAATTATCAAAATTCAAGTTACAATAATTACAATAGGAATTTCAGAGAAACAAATAATCAAAATAATACTAGATTTCAACAAAATTATACACATTTTTCAGATAATAGGAATATCAATGATGATAATAACAGATTTAGGAATGTACAAAACAGTAATAATTACAACAGAAATAATTACAGAGACAATAACAATTTTTCAAGATATAACAACAATGACAGGTATCAATCAAAAAATTATCAGAATAGATCAAGATTCGATAATAGGAATCAAAACAGAAATCAAGAAATGAATAGAAATAATTATCAAACTCAAAATTCAAACAACAATCAACAAAATGGTCAACATAATGATGATTTTTTTTATAATCAGAGAAGAATGCCTGAATCTGGAATTCAGGGAAATAATAATAATTATAATAATGAAAGGTATAGGCAAGTATATTTTCAACGCAGATCAAGAAGTGTAGAAATACCAAATGACCAAGAAATAATTCGGGAATCAAATCAAACAAATTCTGCACAAGAACTTCCAGATAATGAGCAACAAAATTTTTTATAAGCAAACCATGCAAAAATAATGACATAATATATGAACATCCTGTAGAATTTATAACACTCAATGAAAATGGGGATAATGAACAGATGATTGGTTTAATAATATTAAAGGGAAAAATTGGGGACAAAGAAGTGAGGATATTAGCAGATACTGGATCAGAAGCAAGTCTGATAAAAGAAAGTAGCATATCAGATATTGTGGGAATTGAAAATAAAATAGTGAACATGCCTAAAACGAACTTAATTGGGATTAATGGGAAAAAACTATCTGAAACAAACAAATTTATAAATTTGAGTTTGAACATTGATAACAAAATTGTTGAATTACAGTTATTAATGGTGAAGGAAATGGAATTTGACATAATTTTGGGTACAGATCAATTAGAATGTAAAAATGCCAAGATCAATTATGAAAGAAAAGGGATTGAATTAGATGGAAATTGGTTTAAATTTGGAGATTTGAATGAGGAAGAAAAAGTTATAGAAAAGGATATTTTATGCATAAGAAGTATGAATGTGATGAATGAGGATGAGAATGAATCAAATAATTTAAATAAGATGAAATATAAATGTGATGAGGTAGATGAAGATTATGTAAATGAATTATTGATGAAATATAGTGGGTTAATCATGAATGAATCAAGAATAGCAAGTGAGTATGTGCATAAAATAAAAGTTAATGAAGTTGAGAAATTCAAGTCGAAAAATTATCCTATACCATACAAATTCAAGAATCAAGTCAGAAAAGAAATTGATGGAATGATAGAACAAGGCATTATTGAAAGAAGTACCTCTAATTATATCAATCCGATAGTTGTAGTACAAAAGAAAAATGGGGAATTGAGGTTATGTTTGGATGCCAGGGAATTGAATAAAATTACAGTACCACAATATGAATCACCTATGAATATTGAGGCTATTTTTGGGAGAATAACTAATGCTAATATTTTTACTAAAATTGATTTGAAACATAGTTTTTGGCTTATACCATTAGATGAAAGTGTTAGAGATTATACTGGATTTTGTATAGAAGGGGTTGTGTACAGATTTTGTGTAGTCCCGTATGGTTTGCAATCAGCATGTCCTGCTTTAGAGAGAGCATTGCATAATATTTTGGACAAATATGAAGATTTTGTATTGCATTACGTTGATGATATTTTAATTTATTCCACAGACAAAACAAAACATAAAGAACATTTGAATAAAGTTTTGAAAATACTAGATGAAACAGGTTTGAAAATTAATTTAGGAAAATGTGAATTTTTTCAGAAACAAGTAAAAT